ATAGTAATTAAACTGTTGTAATCTGGTTGTATATATAATATACTGGACGGCATAAGCCAGATTAGAATTATATAACCCTTGCATATTGCATTCTAAAAGGACAGTCACCAGTCCTATATATATGAATATGATGACAGTAGAATAATGGGGTGCACCTACCGTAACATGCTCCGTCAGTGATCTTGACGTCATCTAAAGCAATATCACCTGTAAAACTACTTCCTACTATTCCTTCAAACACTATCTGGTAGGCACTGTTTGTTTCAACTGAAATTTGTCCATGTCGCCAGAGATTTCCTTGATCGTTTCTTCTTGTCCATGCAAGTGTACCAACAGTATCTGCTGTATTAACTATGTACACATTCAATGTATTCACTGTGTTTCCATACATGTGGTAAAACCACTCGATGCATGTACCGTTCGTTGCAGGATATGACAATGTCCAAATGCGAGCGGTGTCGTTGAGGTTTTGAAGTGAAGCTTCTATGTATATGTAGAAACCTGTAAGCAAATGATGAAATAAATGTATCGATTTCAGAGAAATTGTTTGTACGTCGATTTGAAATTGTGCTAATTCATTCATTTATTTTGTTTGTAGTTTCAGCAATAAGAATTTTACAACTTCATTTAGAATTTATAAATACATGCCAGCTTCTTATTATATTGTTATGTTTCGTATGTGTGGTCATACTCAGGGCATGTACCAGATAAGGGTGTTGATCATGAGGTTCTTATCCAATCAAAATCATCATAATTTGATATATTGAAAATTGTGCTATTTTATTTATATTTTCAGCTATATTTTCAATAAGAATTTTACAATTTCATTTATAATTTATAAACCATGTCAGCTTCTTATTACCTTGTAATGTTCCGTATGTGTTGTCATAATTTGGGCCAGTACCAGATGAGGGTGTTCGTCCAGATGTTCTTATCCAATCAAAATCATCTGATTCATCTTGTACAAAGTAACAAATGTATGGCTCTTCGAAATCACATTTGGCCTGGGCTAAAAGAATACACAAGAAATAATAATTAACTGAATAATAGCGCATTGGCCAAAGTACATAACTTGTAACTTTGTTAGAAAAAATCTTCTAGACTTTCGATACTGGCAGTATTTGACAATAAGTTCCCTATTCCTATCACATATTTGTAGAATTCGGTAAATATATTTAATAAAAAAATATCACCTACTTTTCAAAATTCACTTGCGTGAAGTCAAAATGGCATCCATACCACAGTTTCATAATGTAAATGGTAAACTACCAACATTTAAACTTACTAGATAATAATATTTCATTACTTTACTAGCTTCTTAAAAATTGTTTTATAGGTTTCTTGTTTCGAATTTTCTTTCTTTCGACACCAAAATAACTTTTACCATTTTAATTGCTCCTTCTTTGTTATTCTACTCCATTTTTATAGTACATAGCCAAAGTGTTTGATGTCAATCGACCGTGTCATTAGATAGTGTAAGATTACTTGCGTAAAGTTGAAATAGTTGAATAATAAGTCCCCTATGCAAATGTTGTCTATCTTATTTTTTCTTAAAATATAATCAATAAAATAAATAGGTCAAGAATAGATATGCATTAGATTTAGCTCAATAGGTAATACACATTTTAGTACGGCAGCTTAGGGCCACATTTGGACTTAATGTGGACGTTCCGGACAAAAGCACCAATTTTTTTTTACATGCTCCTTATGGTCATAGCATTCAATTTTTGGTAGGAACCACCTCATCCGAGGTCATTATGGCCGCCATCTTGGATTTCAAAATGGTAGCCTTTTAAAACCTAAGTTTATCTATATCTCCGCTTCTAAATCACTTTGAATTATAATTCTAATGTCTAAGAGTATGTTTA